GAGCAAGTCCAAGTGTAAGAACAGAGTCTAGAAGATTGAATTTATTACAGATCATAACGAAGAGCAAATCACAATGCAAGATTTTTCTTCTACGGTGTCGTTTAGTCCCAGCTTCAGTTTCTACGCTTCCGGTGACGGTGAACTCGTCGAAGCCGCCGTTAGAGCCGTCCGTGAATCCCAGAGTTATTATTCCGTTAAAGTTGACGGTGACGCAGAGTTCAAATTCGAAACGTCGCCGTTAAGTGAAGAGAGCTTCTTTCATTTTCCGACGACGACGACGACTTTCAAGCATTCAACCGGCGAAGACGTGGCGGTCGGTCGTGTTACCTCGAAGAAGAATATTTTCTACGGTGGATGGAATACTGATGATCCATCTCTATCTTCACCGTCGCAATCGCATTCGTCGTCGGAGTCTGACGATTTGGAGGATCTCTCACCGAGCAGATACTACTGTTTCTGGAGTCCGGTAAGATCTCCGGCGAGAGTCGATAGCACGAAGAGCAAATCATCGAGCGCACCTAAACGGTGTCGTATTAAGGAGTTTTTGAGGAGAAGTCATAGTGATGGAGCCGTTTCGACATCGAACGCATCGAAACGGTGCAGTTTCAAGGATCTTCTGAGAAGAAGCCACAGTCACGGCGGCGACGGCGGGTCTCCGATGTCGACGAGCGGAAACGTATCGCCGGCGGTGATAGGGAAGAGTAAAACGGCGTTGTATAAGCCTGAAGTGGATAAGAGAAGAAAGTCTTACTTACCTTACAGGCAAGATTTGATCAGCGTTTTCGCCGGAATGAGTAGATTCCGTCGTTAATGATACATGATTATCTCATAATTTTTATTATCTGAGCCTATGAAATTACAAATAGGTTCTCCTTTGCTTATAGTAACTGTTATTGTTTCTTTTTTGCCATGTAAATATTTTTGGTGCTAAAAAATTCCAGTTCCAATATGTAGCATCTCGGAAAATAGAGATAGCACAAGATAGAGAATGGCCGGATCAGCTCAATGCTACTTTGGAGCGACTCATCCATGTGATTGATAATACTTCATTAGACTTGTTTGGGGCTTGTCCAATGGATGCTCTAAAGATGCTAGGTTTAGGGTGTTTGCTTTAGACTTAAATACTTAGGGCACAAGAAAGAAAGAGAATGGCCTCTAGCGATTTACTTATAGATTTTGGCGATTGACTATAAGAGAAAAACAATTTGTGCCTTTTCCATTTGTGTGTTCTTTCTATGGACTTTTCCAGGACCAAAAAGAATTTTCTCACAGTCCAATTACGACGGCCCACTTAGCTTTTCTTGCTCAACAAGTTAGGGTTTTATCGGATTTTGGGAATACATGTGTGACATAAAAGGGTACTGAAACGTTTGATTTCCTGTCTTACCTCATTTACGATCCATTTACTCATTGTTAGTTGAAGAACTCGATGTAACAATTT